CAGCACGAAAGCCAAATAGTTGCCCCTTAAGTTCACCGAAAAAAATCCCACAAAAGATGGTTTGTCGAGCAACCAATCCAGCGAGAATTTCAAATTAGCGGCCGTTCTCAATTCTTCTATTGCGTGGAAGGAACATGTTGTGCAGCTGAGAGACCGTTAATGCGCGGTTGAGAGAGATTTGACCACTAATTTCACGAAAGAAGAATAATTTCATAGACAAAGGCAATAGTACATGATATATAGCAGTGATATGCCAGATTTCTTTAAAATTATATTCGTACATTCGCTTGTTTAATTAACGGCAAACAATAAAAGGAAACTGTCTCATTCAGCAAATTGAATGTTCCTTTTCAGTCTAGCTAACTCGTCGATCGTACGACTGATAACGCTTTCATCCAAAACTGAATAAAGATGAACAGCGCAGTAATATTTGGTTTATTTCAAAATTCATTATGAGTTGTTATAAGCGATAAAAATACCATTTCCTACCTACTTATATAAATTAAAGTTCTAAAACCATAGCTGCTGAATTCATTGTATCGACTCTCTTTGAAATATTAACTCAAAAACACTACAACCGTTTGGGAAGTGTGAAACAAATTTGTCATGTGCACACCAAATTTCTCCTAATTAATAAATGTTGATAAGAAAGAATGAAGTGATCATGTCACTAATACTGAAAAACAAAACCTATCACACCGGGAGTAAAACTTATCTATGTATTTTTGGACGAAAACTACCTTTCCATCCCATTGTTATGGTAAGAATGCGCCCTGTAAATTATCCATACTTTATCTTAACGTTAACATCTCTTACAAACAGAAAGCGAAGTGAAAAATTTAACGCCCCAGTACAAATTTTTAGCTTAGGAAACTACAGCGCCTAACTGCGACACTCGAAAGCAGGTTAGGGTACGAATAGTCGAGGGACGATCCGAATTTGTTCTCTTTGCCTTATACCTTTCTCCACCTGTCACGTTACTATGGCAACCCACTTGATACGAGCCTCGTCGTACCACAATTAAGTTTGACGGGTTTGCGAAGAATTGGCTGGTCGTCCGGGAATCTTTTCTCGGACTAACCAATAACAGTAGAAACCCATTCACACTTAAAAAGTCTTATCGTTATCAGCCTAAACAGTCTGCCTTCTCTATGAGTAAATTATCCAGTGAACAGGTCCTGAAAATCGACAAATTTATATAATTGAGTGTGTTAGTTGGATATAACACGAAATGACGAGGAAGCTTGTAACAACTAGTAGGGAAAGTCATGCACACGCTCCTTGGTTAAGCGCACCTCAGACGACTCATGAATAAAAAAGTTTTCTATCAAAATGTCCTAACAGAGTTTTCAAGAAATTATTAGCGGAAATGGTTTGAATCCGATAGCAACAGTCGCCGGATTGTTTAAGATGATCGTCCAGGCGATGGTAGTCCTGAAAAGGACATGTGTCTTTGAAAGCGACTACTAGATGGTCAAAAAAGTTTTAAACAAAACACGAGTGGATAGAAATGGACGACAGTTTAGGTGTCCGAATCATAATCTGGTCTGTCCAAAAGCCGGGCGTCTTTAAGCAGATTGGCATTGTACACAGTGATGTTATTTCCTCGGCATCGCTTGCAACAGCACCTGACGCACAAACAGAACAGAAGGAGAGCCAACACAACAGTGACTGAAATGAAGGCTGCCAAGAAACCTGCAAGATAGAAGAATTAATGTGTGACCTCCTTACTAAGATCTGTGATATCTCGGGGTGATCAATCTCGCGTGGTAAAAAGTTTTCCCGAAGAAATACTTTTTACTAATCGAGTTCGACGTCCGTTCTGTAAGTCACAAACCGAGTTTTCTTCGCGCTTGAGCCATAAATCCCAGCGGAAAAAAAAAAACAGGTTCCGTAACTTACAGTACGGACCGAGAAAAAAAAACGAGGTCAGTAAGATGTTTGCTTTATCTCTGGGTTCAAATAGAGGGGGGACGGTTTCATAGCGCACGAACTAACTAAGATATATACTAAAAGGAGATACTTTGCTGTTCTGTTCTTAGGAAAAATAAATTCTTAGTCCAACATTAACAGACCAAGAGCAACGAGCTTTGAAGATAAGTCTCTCTAAAGTTAATAAAAAGATTGATAACTGCGAGAAGAATTTAGATTGTTTTTACATATTGAGCACAGTCATTGAAGGCGTGATTAATAGGTAGTTCTTCGGGATTCTTTAAAAATCGACAGGCTAATACATACGCGTTATTAACCAAGTGTGGGGTCAAGATGGCTGGATATTGGCCGAGTTCTTTTCTTGTAGTTTATTTTTTGGACCGAGACGAAGTCGAGGTCCATAAAAATGTCATATTCTGCTATTTTTCTGAGGATATCATAGTACATTGCATGAAGCACTAGTACACTTCGTCATCCATGGTCAACCGTGGCGTTTTGTACTCGCCTACAGCTCGTGGTTTTAAAACCTTTCAAACATCACTTGTGCCCATAAATCATGAAACGCACTCGTGTTCAAGTGATTTGCCTCACAAACACACACCGTAAAATACAATGGTGATCAAATCTAAGTCTACGCCTTGTCTAAAGCTCTTGTCGGTGAGAAACCTTGGCCAAAACAAGAGTAATTAAGAGCTCAACAACACCAAAGATCAGTGACCTTACTTTTGTATATAACGGTCCGGACGCACTTCTTTTCGGCTGTTTTTCCACACGCCTTTTCGATATCATCAGGAACAACATCCGAAGTCTCTCTGATTTAAAAAAAAAAAAATCAAATACACAGTCGACTTTTAAAAAGAAAAAAAAGACGAAATTTTTCTACACAAGATCATAAACGCTATTCCTGATTTTACTCCTTACTGTCCAAATAAACATGGATTATGAAGCACTTTGTAAACACAACGTAACTGAGTTACAGCTTCGTTTCAAGCTGGCTTGGACGGTGAACTACTGAACCACTTACTTGATGAAGTCATTCAGAGGGCACTCTTGAGAACACTTTGGTAACTTTAGAGCCTTTGGATCTTTGCTTTGACCAAATCGATACATTATACGAACATTTGCATCTTTCCTGCAGAAACAAAATGCAAGGAAAATCGCCACAGTTGTCATATTCAGTCCTAATTTATCAGTGTGTTCTTGTCATATTTGATAGCTATTATCAATAAAGTAAAAGTAAGGAATGGATCCTCAAGTTAACTTCGTCACGGCTGTCATCTTGTAGCTAGCGGCCAGGCCCTCATATTAGCGCTGCAGGACGTGCCCGGGCGAGGATTCGAGACAAGTCACAGGTGAACAGATGAATCGCAGTACTTTGCCTTATTAAACCTCACCTGCAGATGTTGGCGCGACAATTTTATTGTAATAAATAGCAGATGGGCAAGGCTCCAACAACAAACCACAATTCACGTTCGTGCAATTCTACGGCGTTAAATTTATTTTCACGGTGAGCATGATGTATGTTAAAGATAAGAGGTGTTTTTCCTTTCATAAGATAACACATTCGTAACATTTGGAATTTTCAGAGAATTTTCAGAGAATTTTCGTGCCTCACTTACTTGGCATCATTTTCATCTGAATAAAGCTCTATGATGACTGCACTGGAGTAAGCCGGCTGGATCCCATCAAAAATATCCAAGGCACTCAGCAAAGCAACCAATGTTGTATCATGCTGCCAAATGGACAATAAAATGTTCACAGACAAACAACATAGCGTAGATCAAGGTGTAATATCTAAGAGTTAAGACTGGCACGGTAGCGAGGGATTTGAGAATACTACAGAGCGCTATGGTGGTATCTAGTAAATTTACTGTTTGAAAGCATCTTTAATTTTCTCCATAAAATCATGGTTAACTATTAACTGTGATAAAATAGTGATCAGAAGAACAATAAGGTACGAGAGGGATACTGAATAATCTAAATGTAACATAAAACAGAAAATAAAAAAGATAACTGTAAGATCTGTTTACTTACAGCCGAGTAAATATACATTTTTTTGCTTTCTGATTCAAGGTAACCTTTCATATTCTTGATAATAGCACCCACTAAACTTCCTATAAAATAAGACAGACATTTTTTTGTTACCAACTGTAATATCCTCATCTTTCATCTAGTAGAGTTTTATAACCACTTTTTTTCATATATACTCAAATAGAGACAAAACAAAATCCCAGTAGGATAATGTATGGGGTACTTCCATTACCTAAAGTACAAAACTTAAAGGCACTTTGCCACTGGCCATAGAACTACTACAAGCATTATTTATCGATCAAGGCTGAGTACTAAGAAAAATTGAAGGGAGCCCAGTGCTCTGAAACAGTAAAATCCAGGGTGCTTAGCATATGCTTTTTATTAAAAAAAAAAATACAAATTTCTTAGTTGCCCAAGAGCAAAAGAAAGGCACCAGGGGCCACCGGGCACTGCTACACCTCAGCCCTGTCGATTATGAATCCTTTATGAAGCATGTCAAATGTCAAGCCCTTTGTTTGTTTATAAAAGTAGCACAGTCAAACCTCCATTATCCAGACTCATTAAATGAGTCTGGATAATGGAGATTTGAAGGACTGGATGAAATAGTCCAGATAATCAAGGGTCCGGATCATCAAGAAAATGAATATTAACAAGGAACAAAAACTAATTAAAGTAAGAAAGCAAGTTCTAATCCTGGAACAAAACATTTACAAATTGTTTTGAAAAGATTATGGTCTACATCTTCACTGTCCTACACGAGTACCTCTGCACATATGTATTAACAATCAAAATTAGCCTAAAATGTTGAAGTAAGTCAGTTTGTCTCAAAGCAGAAGATCACCACTACTTTTTTTTTTTTATGCTTTAGTTGAAAAAAGAAAATCCCCACAAATCTTGATCATGACTTCAAAATATTAATGAAAAAATTGGAACTAGAGAAAAAGTCCAGATCATTGAGGTCTGGATAATCAAGGTGCAATTGTAATGGGACATTCCATTTTTTATCCGCACCCCA